GAGAGAGAGAGAGAGAAATATGCGACCTTAAGAGTCTGAACGGAAACACGTGATTGAGATTCAAACGGTGAGATAAGTCGAGAATCCAAAACGGTCTGGGTAGCTTCCAGTTGTGTCCTACCGCGAGAGAACGTACCAAAATACTCTTCGAGGCGGTCCAATCCTGCCATCGATCTTCGCCACGAGCAAAACAGAAGTGGATAAAGAAGAGCACGTATGTGAGCACGGCCGTGACTCATGGGAAGCAATGCCGGCCACGCTCCGGCTGTGGAAAGAGGAGCAAAAAGAGTATGAGGTTCTCTCTAAAACGTATCTCTCTTCCTTAAAATACTCGAAATCTTCACACGTAGAGCGTCGAGCGTAGCAAAGGCAGTATTTAAACTCTGGCCTTGCCTTGAGTGAAACCTCGTGAATTTCGTAGATTACGACACGAGTGTCTTACGAGTGTCTTACGAGTTCGAGAGGTATCCAAACTTCTTGAGATGATCATCGATCCAGAAGACACACAAAGAAAACTTTTTGGTTTGAACAACAGAGATACAGAACAACGAATGAAACTTTCAAACTTGATTGATTTTCCAAAATGATGAACGAACACCCTCTACATGGCGTGGACATAAATTATTATGTAGGTCAACGAAATCGAGAATCTCTGACGAACGAATCGGTGCTTCCTTCTTTCTGTCCGCTCTTCCTCCCCTTACCACTGATCGATGATCGCGTGGGTAACAAGGAGGGAGAAGAAACGAGATAAAAAACAGCCGTCGATCAGATTTCGAGATTCGACGGCAACGTGGAGAACGCCGGCCGGCCGGCGCGTCGCGACGTCGGATGCATTTCTGGCTCCAGCACGGCGCGAGATGCGGTCGCAGGTGCATCGGTGCCGATGAGAAGTTAATTCGGGCTTTCCTCACCTCCCCTTTCTCCGTGCCGCGACGCCGCGGCCCTTTCCCATCCCTTCTCCCAACGTATCTCCCTTCCGTTGTCCACCTTACATCCGTCTCTTTCTCTCGCGATCAGAAACATTCCGATTCTCCCATTTTCAATTATTCAACAGAATTCTAGTCTCATTGATCTAACTTATTTTTTGTCAATCGGTTGTTTCTCCTGTTTCTTTCCTTCTCTCTTCTTTTCTCCGTTCGCCGAGAATGTTGTCGAGAATGCGCAGAGGGAGATACATCGTCCGAATTCTACACTTGATTCTATTTCTCGTCCATTACCGTCACCTAATGAAGGTGTCATTCTCGGGATTGCGTTCCTCGCGAATGTTACATTGAGACGTGATATATTTAATAACAAAAAAAACAAAGAGAAAAATTTGATATAAACATTGATATTAATTGGTGATACAAAAAAAAAACATCTTGCAAAATGCAAATTTTGTAATCATATAATACAACTTCCATGAATATAATATGTAACTTTAAACAACTTTCTTCTTTTTACGTACGTTTAAAAGAAGTAGGAAAGATTCAAAAAGCAGTTAAGCGTTTGATTATCACGATATTTTACATACAATATTTTTTACATACAATAAGTTGTGATAAATTGCATTATTATAGAAGCTAATTTTTATATTAAACTTAATTAAAAATTATCAATGAAAACATAATTTACATTCTGCGTTTAAATTTCTGCAAAAATTGATAAATTCTGAAGGAGTTATAGTGACATATAAATGGACGGGTCTTTATTAATAAGATGACATTTAGAAATATGAATTGATTTATTATATTTGTCTTATATTTGTTTCCCGAAATTCATTGTAGAAGTTACATATCGACATTAATATTATTGCAAATATTGCATCTTGTCAATACAAAACGTGATATTTATTTTTCCTATACATGTTAATAATGTTTGAAGGATTTTAGAACATAATTGAACGCAAGATAGGTAGACGAGAATGAGGTCGTCGACTTATCTCAACAAAATTTATCCAAGCAAAAAGAGAGATTTTTCTCATAAATGATAACACAAAAAATTTCATTGCTTTGGCTCCCGAGGAACAAACGCAGAATCAAACACAGTGATAGCACATATTATCATTTTTTTAATTAAACTAAAATAAAAATTACAAAATTACAAAATTACGGAAATACTTAACACATTTTTTTAATCATGTTCGGTAAGAAAATTTTGAAAATCTTTATTATTAAATTCTTTTACTAAATATTACAATTAAATTCAACTAGATATTTCTATTTTAAGAAATTTGTTGTAAAATCTCAAAGTCCAGCAATTTCCGATGATTGATTATATCACGATGATTTATCGTCATTCTTTTAAACGACGATAAATCATCGACACAACGATATTGACTTTTGCTATACGAGAAGGAAATTATGTTAGAATATTGTTAACATCGCAAAAAACAGTTATTTTCGAAATATTTTTTAAGATTAAAATAATGTAATATGTTACATCCATCATAATGAAAATTTAGTTTAATATAAGAGAAGTGAACAATTCTAATCTAATAAATATATCAAAGTATATGAGTTACAATCGGTTCAATTATCCTGTAATAAAAAAGCATGTTAAAAAGATACCATAGAATATAAATTAATTGTGATTCTTTTTTGTAATGCTGACGAGTCCCATCGTTACGTTTATTTCGTGAGTGAGCGGATATCAACGTAGAGATAGCACATTTTAACAGTAGATACATGTTTTATATATGTTGTATGCATTTCATCCAATTACGGATGAAAAAGTTAGAAATTGCATAAAAATAATTTATTTTGAATTTTCTCTGCTATCTTATGATTAATTAAATATTGATTATATCATAATTTTATCATAAAACATGACAATTGAAAATATAATGTAAGTGTATGGCGATCGGACCGTCATATCTCTAACGATAAAACATGCATTTTGTATTGGATAGTTGAATCTGTAAGAACAAGTAGAGACATACGACTATACGACGCGTACCAGCTGGTCGATTGTCAGCGTGAAGCAAAATGGAGAGAAAAAAAAGACATACACAAGATGGTTCGAGCAACGTAATGAGAGAAATAAGATAATGATTATAGATTTCGGTTTAATCGCATTTCTTCGATTAATATCTAGTCGAGTGATGCAACAAGCCACCATGTAATATTTTACGCGCCGAATACAAATTGCGGTAGATACTTCAAATTGCAGACAATATTGATGACGAACGAGCAAAGTTCGATACGTTAATAACTTTAAGGAATTTAGAACTATAATTGAACGCAAGATAGATAGACGAGAATGAGATCGTTGACTTATCTAACAAACAAATTTATCCAATTTATCCAAAAAGAGGATTCGATTGATGGATACTGTCACGAGTAATGTTAATTGTAAGAATAATATATAACATTTTTCTACAGAATTACACTTATTCTCCTTTGCTGTGATAGGCAATCCATCACCACCCAAAGCAAATATCAAGAATGTATACAAATTTTCATATAAATTGATACAATAATATAATATATGATATAATATATAATTTTGATACAATTTGGTACAATGATATAATATGTGTGAATTTTATATTTATTGAATATAAAATTCACATGAATATTTAATTTACTGAAAAATATATGCCAGGAAATAAAAACATATAAATAAATAAATAAACGAATTCATCACACATCTGTAGAATCTCGTTATATCAATCTTTCGTTCAGATTTAAATATGTATGTCAATGTCAATGCTCTTTGGATAAATTTATATAAAATAAAGAATTTACAAGTATTTTGTTTACTAATTGCTATCACAAGTATTTCGTTTAATAATTGCTATCAACATTATATAAAAAAAATGATGAATTGGACATATAAACTTTCGATTAAATTAATTTCTTTTCCTAATTTCTCATAAATGGTCAAATAGAAAATTACATTGATTTGACTTCCGAGGAACAAATAATCAAACTCAGAGCGACATAATGTCGCTATAAAATAAAATCAAAATATAAGCTATTTGTTTACATTCAAGCGAGAGTTCACGACCTTCCTCTTTTCATAGACAATTTCGTCGAGCATCGACAGTTTCGTCTTACCTGGCATAGTTGATACGTTTAATAACCTGAGCTGTGTGATATTGTGCAGATATGTCAGCGGAAGATTGGGCATGGCAATATTTTCATAAAACTGAGAGTGGATTAATAAAATGCAAAATATGTGGGAGTATCTTTTTAATAGGGAGAGAAATAGATACTTCTCATAAAGCACACTTATTCTACGAACATAACATACGTCCAAAAGAAGAAGTCGACAAGTGGAAAATGGAAGAAAATCCTGAGCCGATGTGGGAAAATTTCAAAAAAGGCGAACTGTATACTGCGACATGCAATTTTTGTGGAGAAACAGTGAAACATGCATATGACGTTTCTAATTTAAATCTTCACTATTTGAAGCATTTTCAAGAATTTGAAAATTCTATCAAAAATTCTTGGTTGAAGAATCATATGAGATTTAATAGAACCACTAAAAAACCATATTGTTATTATTGCAAAAAATATTTAAATACCTCTCTCAACGTACAAGACTTAAAGGATCATTTGTTTTTAATTCACGATCTCCGCGACACCACCAGAAGAATGAGAATAGATAAAGATACAGAAGAAAGTAGTGCTGATGTATCTATACAGGCTGAGGAGAATAAGCCAAGTACAAGTTTTCAATAAAATATTTATGGAAATTATAAAAAATTAAGGACATAATTGGTAAATATTTCAAACACTGTTTTCCTCTTCCATAAACCAATAGATTTTATGTTTACAACAAATATCAAAAGTTGAATAACGGAATATTATAATTAAAATATAGCTGTTACAAATATTAAATAAATATTTATATAATAAATATTCAATAATATTTTCTCAAATTTGTCAACTTGCCAATTTTCAATATAATTTTCGTAACATATTAGAAATTGATTTATATTTATCTTTTATTATTATTGTAAAAGTGATAGTCATGTATTTGTTATATGTAATTTAATTAAATATTATAACTTGAATATAACGCATGATTTAAATATTAGAATGAAATATTCTGATGTTTGTATATATACATATATATATAAATACTGTAATATTAAATTTTACTTAATTTCGTTAAATCTCCCTTTTTAATATCTGAATGTTTAGTAATTAATTAAATTACATTTGTGAACATAAACTTTTTTTGAACGAAAATAATATTTGAGTGAGTATTCTATTATGCAGACGTTTATGTACAAAAAATCACTTTGAATTAGTAATTCAATAATTATAATCAGCAAAATATCTGGTTAAATATAATATTAATTATCGAATTCTAATTTCAGATTATAGTGCAACAGCAAGGAGATATAATTGGAAATAGATATTAACACCGATAATACATTTAAACAACATATTTTTATGTCTTATAGAATTAAATGTAGAACAAACAATTTGATAATTTGACAAAATAGAAACTATATATCACTGTATATATTTCTATTGAACCAAGGATTTCTATTTCTCTTCAATTTTTTCTAAACAGCTTTATCGAACATTCGTTTTGACATTGTAGACGCGACATACTGCATATAATTAAAAAAATAATTATAAAATATAATTAACTCAAATGCAATTTAAAATACTTTTTGCAAAAAAAACCATTAAAAATGCACCGTGGGAAGAAATACATTACTGAGGTAATAATATAACCATCCGTTGTTGAAAAGAATAATAACAAATTCAAACTATTAACGAAAAGATACATACTAAGAAGCCACACAAAAAGAACAATTAAAATGAATAGTATTAAATGTTGTAAATACCTGTTAGTCTGTGAGAAGTAAGATCAAATATATTATATATATCAAGTACTAAATACAAAAAGTATCTTTAAATTATTATAAAATTTTCATATTAAATATGTGTTCTACTCTTAATATCATATTATAATCTCAATATATGTGTTTAATATATTACTTGTTTAACATCCCAAATTATTTTGTTGTCAATATTAAAAGCATATCTCAATAATAATAATAATACATATATACATTAAAATCTTTTAATTTATTGTCTCTTTAGTATAGACAAATTTTAGAAAAATTAGGCGTTTTTCTGAGTATTAATAATTGATTTTGAATATGTGATTTCTTGGATAAATAAAAACAATTCCATTTTAAATATAATAATAAAATAATATAACGTAATTAAAATGTAACATCATATTAGCTATATTAAGGCAGTTTTTTCTTTTTTTATACATTTCTCTCATTGGCTTGCAGGTTATCGATAAGTTCAAGATAAATAAAGGATGAAGATTTCGAGAAAGACATTGAGAGCAATTAAATCATATATCAAGGACCTTTACAAGTTACTACCTTTTTTCTCAGATCTTGACATTAACTGAAGAAAGAATTACATCCATAATAAGAACATAGGACTACATCCATAATAAGAAATTCTTCCATAATAAGAGACTCTTTTCTTTCATATATCATCTATTTGATTATATTAATATTATAGGACTATTATATTATATACTTAATATTATATATCGCAATAGTCCTAATTTATATATAATTATTATATTATTTACAATAATAATATTTATATGTAATTATAATTATTTATAATTGTAATTATGTATAATTTATATATGATTATAATAATTATTATTAAAATGATAATTGTATAAAATTGATTGATATTTACATTATATTTGATTGAAATTATATTTTACAATTGATATGATTTTATAATCAGTCATTTTATAATCACTCATTATAACATTATATTGAACTGTAAAAAGCATATGTAATCTTAATATTTACTTTAACATTTACTTAATATTTACTTAATATTTATTTGTAGATTTACTAATAACACTTTAATTGTCACACTCATGTTTTTTCGAAAATTGATGTATTATGAATGAATTATCATGATAGAAATGGACACATTTTTATAATAAGTTGACATTTAAAAAAATAATTTGTCTTATGCATTTAATATGTTAGAAAGTATATTTTAAAATGGAACAAGAATTTGATTTAATTATTCACATTCCCGGCTTCCCAGTCATCTATTTGATTAATAAATGAATTGGATATATCACTTTTGTTAAATAATATATTATGTATTATAGAATTTAATATTTGAATTAATTTTTACAATTGCATTCAGTTGTACTACAGTTGCATATCTTTGCATTCATCTTATATCAACAATATATGTTTAAAACATGGCCTAGACGATAGCACATATTATCATTTTTTTATTAGATTAAAGTAAAAGTTGCAACGGAAATATTTAACACATTTCATTAATTATACGGTACGGTACGGTACGGTAAGAAAGTTTTGGACATATTTATTATTAAATTGTTCTTTAATTATATGTTAGAACCGAATTCGACTATATATATTTCCCATTTTAAGAAATTCGATAAAAAAATCTCAAATAAAATCCAATCAATTTCCAGTTGAACATACCACGATGATTTATCATCATTCTTTTAAACACGACGTAATTTATTTTTGCTATACGAGCAGGAATTTATATTAGTTTATTCTCAGTGAACGAGAAAGCAATTATTTCCAAGATATTTTTTAAGAACAAAATAACTTAATATGTTACATCATATGTTCTATCATATGGAAATGTAGTTTAGTATGTAAGAGCAGTCAACAATTTTAAGCTAATATGTCAGAGTATATGACTTACAATCGGTTTCAATTAACCTATAATAAGCATGTTAAAAAGGTTCTCGAATATAAATGAATTGTTATCGATTCTTTTTTGTAACGTTGATGAGTTCCTTCGTTACGTTTATTCCGTGAGTGAGCAGCTATCAACATAGATATAATGCATTTTGACAGTAGATATATTTTTTTATATTCGTTGAACGCATTTTATCCAATTACGAATGAAAAAGTTGGAACTTGCACAAAAATATTTTATTAAAAATTTTCTCTGTTATTTTATGATTTATTAAACATTAATTGTATCATCACTTTTATCATGATACATGACAGTTGAAAATATAATATAAGCGTGTAGCGATCGGACTGTCACACTTATAACGGTCTAAAAGCATGCATTTTGTGTTGAATAATCGAATTTGAAAAAACAAAAACACATAACTGTATGCGTATTAGCTGATGGATTGAAACAAAACGAAGAGAAAGAAACATGCACAAAACGGTTCGAGCAGTGTAATGAGAGAAATAAAATAATGATTCTAGATTTCGATTTA